ACGTCACGGGTTCGAATCCCACTGTGGGACGTGGAGACTGGTCCTTCGGATGAAACCATATAAACCGAGGCCCCGTGTCGCAGTAGGTGCTGGCATGAAAAAGATCCCTCACTGCTCAAAGGCCCTGAGTGCCGAGCAAAGGACAAAATTTGTGGCGCTCCACCGGCAAGTGGTGGCGTCTCCATATGAGTGAAAAATTCTCTCATGGGACGTTTAACAACATACAATCAATCAATCAATTTTCTGAAATTATTTTAAATGGCAGCACTACAAAATATATATTTATCTCTGCTCTTTCATTATTTGGATTCAAACATACCCATCCTTCTTTTGTTCTGCAACAAACTTCCTTTTCAAAAGTCGACGACCAACTTTTATGGGAGCTTCATAACCTGTAAAAAATTTCTATAAATTATTGATACTTAAAAAATGAAAATTCATCCCCTCCTTCCAGAAAGAAACCTTTTAAATAAATGGTTTATACTTTTATTATTTTTGGTGCACATTGAATAGACAAAATCTAGCAGCATTCAACTTGTAGATCACAGCAGATAAATAAAGGGGCGTGGTTGTATCGAACGACCCTCTTACCATTACATCATGATCGTACATAGAGTATGTGCATATCAAAACCATAGAAAATATAATGCATGTAAACTAAATACTATAGATTATGATTTGTGTTTACATTTACAAATTATTTCAAAACATATCACTAGTAAGGCATAATTATGGTGGCATATTATTTCTGCCCCCTACATGCAAGATAAATTATATTAGCAATAACATGCAACATATGTATGTCAACATGCAAATTAATTATATTGACATGCAATTTACCAATCTTATAAGAAATATAATTTATATATGGATAATTTTACTTACTAACGCCTGTATCTGACATTTTAGATGCAATATACAACATAATTATGTAGACATGCGACTTTTTTGGTATGTCAACATGCTAGATAATAATGTCAACATGCGACTTATCTATGTAAACATGCGAGTTAATTATGTAGACATGTTTACATTTACATTTACATGTCATTTACAGAATTACATGGGGAGCACCTATGATTTAAATCAGATTCCTATAAAAGATTTGTAACTTGCATGTCAACATAATTATCTTGCATGTATACATAACTTTCTTGCATGTTCACATTTATAATTTATCTTCCATGTTGGAAGCAGAAATATGTTACTATACATAATATATAAATATTATCATTTTTATGCCTAGTAGCGCCTTATTTGTGAATGCGTTGTTGCAAGCTTACTTTCACTCTACATGAATGTCAAATCTATTTTTAAACATCGTGTATGAAGAGTTTTCATGTCGTAAACAAACCTAAATTCAGACTGGGTATGGGATTTCTTGCAGTTGGTCGACCATCAATAAAATGTGTTGAACACACGAACACATTCTTCGGCAAATCATTGCGGTGTAGTGCCCGTTGCCATTGAAGTTTCTCTGGCTCCGCTTTCGGCATCTTGTGGAGGCTGTAAGGCACAATGCAGGGACAATCTTTGTGGAGAATGCCGACGTGGTCTTCAGAGAGAATGTTTCCACAAATAAATTTTCTTTCTGTTGTTAAAACAGTTAAACACGGCGCACGATTCCCCCCTCCATCTTTATACATCTTTCACGGCTCACGGGTTTCACGGTTGTAATGGCGGATGCATCACGTGACATGTGATGGCTACGCTCTGTAACTATGACGTAATTGCGGGAAAAAGTTGTGTATACTGTGGATTTATATGAAAATCTGAAATCCATGTATGTCTATTGTGACTTGATTCAACCCCAGACGGTAGGATCCAATGCCTTGAAATTATTAAGAGTGGTTCCTTGTGCATTTCATTTGGAGGATTCAAAACAAGCCAAATGGGAACCCATTCGAGCGGAATATTTGAAACTAAGTAAAAAAAACATTTCGATACCATTGAGATTCACATCATGACTCCTTTAGGGACTCCCATGCCCTTTGTAAGTGGTAAATCAGTGGTGAAACTTCATTTCAGAAAAGTCTACTGAGATGAACGTACCGTTGTTTTGTTCCATCTTATTGGGCGTGGTGGCTTG